AAAAGCTTGATGATGGATCTGGGAACGTTTTTGCAAGTGGCTGGTGCCCACGTGGACATTAAGGAGAATGCCACTGACTCTGATATGAAAAGCACAGCGTGTACTGTTGAATCTTTTGTTGCTGGTGCGTCATWCTCTGACARCACTATAGAGGATTCAGRATCGCACGGGGACAACAATACTGGCTTCGGGACCAYTGCCAATACAGGGAACGAACAGAAGATGATGTCCGGATATGAACTCAGAAAACTCCAGCAGGAGGAACGTAAACAACAACGTGAAATGCGAAAAGATCGTCTCAAAGAATATAGAAGCTTTCGYAAGGACGATATTGTCAGCAAAGCAAAGCTCTTGCGGACGACCGCCCGCAAAAAAGGTAGGATCCAAGAAATGGAAATACTCCTCAAGGAAGCCCTGGCTTGCGGAGAATTTTCCAAGCTGATGGAAATCCCCGATGAGCAGAGCCCAAGAACAAACATTGACAAGAATGCGTTACACATCTGCGCCTGGAGGGGGGACTACGAGACCGTGGTGCGGTTGGTGGAAATCTCCCGCGAACACTGCCCAGAATTGGACGTCGTCAACCTGATCTCCAAAGGACYAGGCAACTACGGCAAGACACCCATCTTCTAYGCGCTGACGCAATGCCGCGAGGACGTGGTTCGCTACCTTGTATTGGAAGCCGGCGCAGATTTGTTGATTGTCAACAATAAGGGTCAAACCCCTTGCAGCATTGCGAGAAGCCATATGACCGAGGAAACCTGCCAACTTTTGTATAAAACTGAAGCAGAGCAACTTGCGGCCCGGAGCCTTTCTGTAGGTGGCAATGGCACTGAGTTGTTTGCAAACTACCGAGCTAGTATCCACTCTGATGGTAAGCTGTACGGAGATCTCGATCCACGATTTCCCATTGACGACGACAATCGATATWATCAAAAGAAGGGGTCCGTSGAGGACGCTGTGGTTGATAATGATAATAKTGACAATGGAAGRTGGGCAAGTAAAAATGGCTTYGGTCAAAAAGTKACTGAGGACTATATGGATAGAAACGACGATCTYACGGACCAAATCAAGGAGTAYGAAGAATCAGTGCGGTTGGCTCCARAAGAAAGTATAGTTCAGGGAATCCCGACAGTGTTTTCACCCCGWAGCTTGCGTGCGACGGTTCGGTGGTGGAATCGAGACGATAAGTCGCTGGCAGCGGCAAACGACAACAATTATGATTCTGGCGGTCAAATCACTTTTACTCAATCTCGCCCCMAGGRATCGAGAAAACCGGTTGAATGTAGGGACATGGATGAAAAGAAAAAGAGAAAGGGCAAATCCACAAAAGATGACAACAATGTGTCAAGATTTMGCGAAATTGATATAGACTCCCTAGARCTTGTTTCGATCAGCGACTGTATCAACTCGGGTATACCATCGGGTGACGKTGGGTCTGATCTYGACTCGACTAAAATCCTTGTGGATGATGTTGAGTCGTTATCTCGGTTTGAGGCGGAGGTCGACAATTGTCTTTCGGAGCTGAACCACGATCTTGAGAGCAGAAAATTAGCCGMAGAAGAAGGGAGCCTTTTTGGTCACGACGAAGAGATTATCTTGAAGTATGCATGGGGGCTTGATTGTGAATGGAAACCGGGTCCTGAATGYGGTCTAGACTCGCCTGTTTCAACGCTACAACTTGGGACGAGAAGAAATGTGTTCTTGATTGATATGCAAACCATCTGTCGCAAACAAGAGAGTCTCGATGAAGACAGCTCAATGGAGAGAAGTCTTGATAGCATTCTTTTGAAAATATTTCGCAACCCCAATCTTCCATTAGTAGGATTTGGTGTTGTACAAGATTTGGGAAAATTAGCTGCATCATTTTCTCATTTGAAATGTTCTTCTGAGTTCTCCGCAGTYATGGATCTGCAGTCAATATCGTCAGTGATCTACAAAAACAAACGTGATCGGCGTATGATGTCTAGTCTCCAAAAAATGACAGCAGTTCTATTGAACAAACGATTGGACAAGGCTCAACAGGTCTCCGACTGGTCCAATCGGCCACTATCGAATGAACAAATTTCCTACGCAATGTTAGATGCTGCAATCATCCCCTTACTATTGAAGACTATTGTCGAAGACAGCGATGTTGTTGAACGCTACAATGGTCAGTTCTTTAACGTCCACAATAATTTGCTTTCAACAATTCGATATACCCTCGTCGAACCTTGTGAAGAGGGATTTGTGTACGAGATGTCCTTCGGAAGCATAAAATCAACCCTAGGAAAAGCATTTGCAAGACAAAATTGGCCCACGAAGATGAAAYTAGAAGAACCAGCACCTCCCAAACTGGTAGCTTGTCAAGCCATTGCGGACGGCARTTCTTCTTCCATGCCAACCACTTCGAAAAAAGAAAGGGCCCATTTGCGTAAAGTCGGCGACAAAGGTCGCAAACGACCCAAACCAATCCCACTTAAAAGTCTCACAGGTAATCTTGAGAATCTTCCTATACCGGGCATCTTTCTCGGCTATACAAAGGAATCRTGCGCATTCCGTGTTGTTGGTCATGAATTGTTCAAAACGATACCTGAAGGTACATATATTGGTTTCAATCGGCGTGCGGGGGTTGTCGAAACATCGAATGCATGGATTCTGTTCTGCAATTTCGGTGGGGAGAAGTCGTTCAGTGAATTTGCTAACAATGGAAGACAGCTATCTTTCCGTGTCAACTCGACTGCACAGTCTGGCCGTTCGAGTGAGTCTTCCATGTACAGAGAAATGATTTCCAACGCGCAGTCACCCAGAACACATCCAAGCACAGACAAGAAAAAGATAATACTGTTTGCAAGAGAGTCGACAAGAACGAAGTACATGTATTGTGGATTGTGCTCATGCACGAAGGTGCTTCCRCTGGATTCAGACACCGCAAGTTTGRTTTTGAAGTTAGAAGACTACGAMAAGCTCATGAAGCCTGATTTGAGGWTATCTTCCGACTTCGAGCACCTCGTTGAGGGAATTTAAGTTTAGGCATAAGTCTTCCACTTTAACGAGTCACAAAAWAGGAATACCAAAATAGTTGCGGCACATTCTATTTTGTTCTTCGGTAGCTAGCTATTTGTTGGGAGCATGTTAAAAAGCTTCGAKAGATATTTTGAGAATAGGCCAAATACACAGAKAATGGTTCTTTCTGCTGTGATGTTTCGGTCAKTCTTCCCTACTTTCAAAATCTATCTCAGTGATCTCTTTGTCGTCAAGTTGAGACCAATGATGGTATGACTTTCAGTCATTCTCGTCGTTTATCTTTAATTTGTGATCAGAAAACCTCACCTTATTTATTCGCCACGATTCTATAGTCAATGYGTTCCTTCCACGTTGTTTTGACGGAAAAGGATGGAATGGTGGGAAAGACTTGCTACACTTCGTTGCTCGATCTAGTTGTTGGAAGCTGCAACTATATCGTCAACATCCGACTCGCAAGCCTTGTAATTGTTCTTTGCTCGAAGAAGTAATTCTTGCGTTTCTTTCTTCTTTAGAATCAGGCGTGTTGTAGGTACCCGAGATAATTCAAATAAAGCATCGCATGCTTGAATCTGGATATGGGTATTGTYGCTGTGCTGTTTCATCGCTGCGATTACTGCGCTCACGAGTTTTGGAGCATGGCTCTCGTTCTTCCCTTTGAAAACAAGAAACCCGATAACCTCACAAGCAGCAATTTGTATCGCGGGGAGATCAATATATTCTTTCATTATTTTCAATATARTTTTGATCCTGGTGTGTTGGGCTACTTCGGACGCTACATCTTCGTCGACACATAGCTCCTTAATCAAAGCAAACGAGGGGGCAAGGAATGCCGGGACAGCCAGAAAGGAACAGATGGCATCAAAAATGGCATCAAGACCTCCTTCCTTCAAAATCTTGTTTTGGTTATCAATGCTCTTCGATGCCAGGAGTTTTAGGGCAATGCATGCTGCTGTCTTCACTTCGACATCAGCAGTGTTTCGTAACGYAGATATTGCTGTTTGTATTCCATTACTCTGCCCTATCAGTGACTTAACATCTTTGTTCGATGCTAAATTTCCTATAAGCCCATATGCCGATAATAGAAATTCTGTACCAGCTTCCACCTGYGCCATGGCGTCAAAAATGATGGATACGACTTTGGAGTTCAGCACTGCATCAAACGTGTCTGCAGACCGTACCACCAAGTTTTGGAGGAAAAAGCATCCCTCCTTTTGCACATCGAGTTTCCTCGGAAACCGTTCCATCGCAGATATGACGGCGCGCAAACCGCCAGCATTTATTATGTATGGGATGGTTTCTGGGACATCCGAAAAAGCACCAAGAGCACCAGAGCCCATCTGTTGGACTTTTGCATTCTTTGTGCAATTCTGAATGGAAGTGACTACGAGCTTTATTGCATCCATGTGGATTAGCTTCGTCGCAATGGCGGGGTAAACCCATAGCATTTCAGCAAGGGTACAGCAGGCTTCAGCCTGGAGAATAGATTTGTCAGGATGGTCTATCATAGCCTTGCAGATGATTTCCACGCCTCCAAAAAGAATAATTTTCTCAACGCTCTCTGCAGATTTCGCACATTTTCGAAGCATTTCGCATGCTTTGTCAACGGCCTTTGAATCGCTGGGATCCCGAAGTGCGCTCTTGATKATCTTGCGAATTTTGGTAGAATCCGGATCCTTGTAAGCAGACTTGAACGACGATATCTTGAACTTGAAAACAAGCTCCTCTTCGGACTCTTCTGTCTTGACCCGTTTTTGGTGGGATGTGCAATCGCCATCTATTGATTTTCTTGGTCTACCCCGCTTTTTCACAATGACTGGAGTGGACATGWTGCCGTCGACAAGCTTCGTGTCGCTGCTTGGAACCGGCAAAGGGCCGCCATCCGGTACCTTTCTGGGTCTACCACGCTTTTTGACACTGCCCGCAACGGGCAAATTGCCGCCATCCACGGACTTTCTGGGTCTGCCGCGCTTTTTGCCCGACCCAACCACCGGCGCGCTGSTTTCCTCCACCGACGTTCTTGGTCCACCCCGCTTCTTGCCCGTGCCCGGCGCGGGAGGAGCTTTCCTCGAGGACCYACCGGTCATCGCTCCCGCCACGGTGGTCTTCGATGCCGGTGGAGCAAGGCGCGGATACGGACAAACCTTCTCGATGCAGACCTGCTTTAGCCTGTTGGGGCCACCGAACTTGGGCTTGTCGAGGCAGTGCTTGCACGTCCCGCAGTCTTCGCGGGTGCAGGCCTTGCATTCTCCGCAGCGCGACATCTTCGTTCGTTCGACGGCCAGGCATTCGCAGCACTTCCAGATCCCCTCGGGGACGAACGGCAGCGGGGGAATGTGGCAAGCGAGGTGGAACGCCTTTTCGCAAAAATCGCAGCAAATCAATTCGCCACCCAGGTAGCAAATGTAGCAATCGTCATCGTGTTCTCCCTCGAATAGTTTGTGGTTGACAACCACCTTCTTTCTCGGGGCACCTTGTTTCGGCTTCGATTGGGTCGCCCTTTTCTTGGACCTGCTGCATTCTCTGCAGAACCAGTCTCCGATCGGAATTTCTTTGATTTTGGGTTGGTGGCAGTTGGAATGGTATCCACGGTTGCAGCCATCGCAGCAGATAAGGTCGCCYCCTTTTGAACACACACAACAAYTGCAGTCAGACAAATGTTCGGTTGGCTCACCAACCAGTTCTTTCTTTATTTTCGTTGCGCCGGACGTTGCGATTTCGGCACCGACCTGATCAGGAGCAGTTGGAACGGTATTGGTGGCTTTGRTGGCTTCGGAACTTTCGGTCTTGTCCGGACGAACGACCGGTTCTGTTTCGGTTTCGTCTTGGACATGCCGTTGGGGACTTGCTTTGGAATCGACGCCGGGAACCAAATCGGAGATGACGTCATTGGTTGTAGCATTTGTCTTGCTTTCGTTTTCTTTTGGATCGACGGCTGACGTGATCTCTTCGCTTTTCTCTTGCGGCGCAACGGCAGGATTCACGTTCTCGTTCTCGCTCTTGGTACTGTGGGCCTTAGAGTCGCCGTCGCTGTTCCGTAGAGGACCATCCCCGGACTCTTCGCCGCTAGTGCGAATCATGCCATTGGCTGTAGCATCCGTGGCGACTTTGTCCTCCAAAGCCCACCGGATGCGATTCGGTTTGATGCAGTCCTCGAGTCTCCTCGCAACTTTTTTTGTTACCGYTTTCGGCCGATCCCCCTTCTCCAACTCCTTGCTYGTGCCGCCCTCCGGTCCGCTGTTGCTCGGAACAGCGGTGGCTATAGGAGCAACAGAGGCAGTTATTAACGGGGACAAGGGCGGGGTGGCTGGCCTTGGTTTGCCGCTTGCGAGCCATTCCTTGTAGCATATCAACTTGCTGATTGGACGTCTCATCAGGCATCCCTTCGTTAGATCCTTGTACCTCTTTTCCATGGCAACGGCTTCTTCGTAAAGGGAATTCAGATCCATTCCCAGCTGGATCTTGACTCCGTATTTGAAATTCGTGCCTTCCGGCCACAGATGGTACCAAATGCCGTGCCCCGAGACAAGCTTTCGCACCTGGCTCACGATGACCCTTGCGCTTTTGTCACCTGCGGCTCTATGAAAATGACCGTGTGGAATCCGGACCAAGAATTCGTGAAACTCGTCCAACCACTCCGGAAGCCCGTCTTTGGTTTCTTTCTCTC